CAGCCGATCTATAGATATATATGTAGAGTCGAGAGCATCTTATATGTAAAAGCCACAAATGGGGTTGATGATGTGGGCTCCACAGAATTATTTGTCAACGGGGTGAACTTTTACGCCATTCCAAATTGCTTATCAAACCCATCTCAGTTGAAACTACAAATTATAAGTGAACAACCCTGATGTAGTTACAAACATGCATTCGGCTGTCACTATTGCCCTTAACTTCTTGATAGCTTTTGATCGGCCGAGTCGATCGAGTCACGAAATTGAAAACATATTTCAAGGCGTTTAAATTAAAGAAAGTTTCTCGTATACCTATGTTTTAACTTACTATTAAATTACTTATATCATTACTACTAAAAAACTGTTTTACAAATTTAAATCCGGTGCAGATGGACTCCCTGATACTCAAAATTTTTTGTATGGTACCATTTTTTTAAAAGTGTAAATAACGTTTTTCACCTGATTTCATGTTAATTTTATTTTTTATCTGCTAAGGCGATTTTGGTCATCGAAAGCTTATTTTACTAGAAATAGATCATATTTAAACATTTTTTATACTTGTTAATAAGATAAATTTCTAGGATCGGCGTACCAGCGGATTGTTGAAAATAATAGCTTGTTAGATTCGTGAAAATTACATTTCCAAGACAAAGTGATCAAATTATTTTCGGTTTTCAGGCGTGTATTTCTTAAGAATTAATTTATGTTGTCGGATCTTCAGATTTTGCAATGTTTTCTAATTTTGCCGAGCTCTACCATCTATAATCGGAAACCTATCCTTATAACATGTTTGGGAAAGTTGAAAAATGGTCAATTTCTATTGAAATAAGCAATTGATAACCGGAATCGGTTAAGCAAGATTAAAAACTAAATTGGCACGTTAAGAGTTTAAAATACAAAAAAAAATTGAATTGTCATGTTTTAAATCAGGAACTCCATGTGCACCTGTAAATCTGGAGCATTTCATTCATTTGACTCTAGTTATAAAAATTGGTATTATTTGGGAGTAATTTTTTTTATTCGGAATAACTTTCTAAAGCGATTTTTAAGTCTGGTCATTCTAAAAATGTGTACGGATTAACACTGAATGTAAATTTTGGTTATTTACAAAATTAATTATTTTACTAGATTGCGCCCACAACTTCCAAACGACTACAGCTACTAATACGTCATGTATATCGTAAAAAAGGTATTTTTAAGTGCTATTTGTCTTGACATAATTTTTTAAGAAAAAAAGATTACGCCATTATAGACAAAATTAGGTTTTTGTGCTCACATTTCAGCAATTTGTTTGAATACGGCAGTATCGATTTCTATTTATTTTCGAGTCCGTATAGCAGTTTAGATTACGAAACTTTGCATTTATAACACTGTTTTCTATAATACATCTCTTTTGGGAGTTGTTTATCATTTTATGCTTATTTGCAAGCCTAGTAGATTGCATATTTGATAAAGTAAGTTGTTTTTACTTTTAAACGTTCTCTTAAACGTACCGACAGCTATATTAAAGGAGAGTTAATTAAAATTCAATAATTATTAAAATAGTCAAAAAATTCGAAATGTAAAAATTAATGTGAACTTAATTTGAATAAGTATAAAAATATTTCATATGATTTACTGTGCGGCATAATTAAGTTAAATATTGTCAACTATTTAAGCATATTTTAATAAAATACAAAAATTTGTCAATTTACTATGCGCATAAAATAAACTATATAACTTATCGACATATTAATTACTTTTTTTATGTGTGGGTCTAAATCTTTGGAATAAATATTAGATTCAAACATAAAATAGTGACATTTACAATGTTATTTTCTAACCAGTGTACGAGTAACCAGTGTAACCAGTAACCAGTAACCAGTGTACGAATAAAACGAAACATCAATAAAAGCAAATCGAAATTTTTAATTTATTCCATTGGACGCTGATGAACATTGATTGTTATACAAACAAAACGAACAGGAATGAAGGCAATAGTCGAGTTTCCCGACTATAAGATACCCGTTACTCAACTAAGAAATTTCAAATTAAATATTTCCCCACAAGACAACCGGGTGTATCTGGCGTCATTTGTTGAGCTGCATTGCCAAAACCAGACGCTAAGAGCATGTAGCACCCCCTCCCCCAGTGCTGTCTCTATATCAGCGATCACCCTGGCCCTTTCTAATGAGCAAAGTAAAGTGTTTTGCCGGCAAAGCAGCGGCAGAGAGGCGGCAGAGCGGCGGCAAAGTGGCGGCAGAGGACCAAAGACTTCTGAAATATTATTCCGAATTTTTGCAATTTATTCAAACGTTGTCGATCACCTATCCCTTTAACATGGATGGAAAAGTTTAGGAATAATATATTAATATTAAAATAAGCCATCGATGACCGAAATCGGTTGAGCAGAACTGAAGATAAAAAATAAAATGGTCAAGAAAACAGTTGAAAAAACTATATTTACACTTTATAAAAAATGTTGAGTAGATTCATCGGTCACTTTGTGATTGTTACATTAAAGCTTTGCACTGGTAAATCAAGGTTTGATTTCTAGAGGATTTAATCGATTTAAATTTGTAAACCCGTGTTATCAAAGAACTAAAAAAAAATTTAACAACAAAAATGTTATGATTTTGCTTTCATTTTTTATTATCCGTCCGATCCGGCTCGTTCCGACTTATATACTACCTGCAATAGAAAGACAACTTTTGGGAAAGTTTCATGCAGATAGCTTTAAAACGGAGAGACTAGTTTGCGTAGATACATACTTTATAGGGTCGGAAATGTCTCCCTTTACTGCGTTGCAAGCTTCTGACTTAAATCATAATACCCCCTAAAAATTGGTTCATTCCCCCGCATTCAATCACTTCCGTTGGGTCCGAAAAAGTGGCTATGAGAAAAACGTGCTCGGCTGGTGCTCGACACTGCTCTATCATATGTAGTACTTATAATACACAGAAAAAATGTATAAGATATGATACCCATTCCGATAAAATTCCGTATAATTTATGCGTGCTACTTGACTTATCAAATTAATGTCAATGTAAAAGTATACCTTTCGATAATATAAATTTTTCACAAAAACCGTATCAAATTATTTAACATATTATTTATAATAAAATGTGGAATCGATGCTGTGTTAAATTTCATGTTTAAACATCAAAACTTTGTTATTGAATATTTGATTTAAAACAAGAAAGCAAGCAAACTTCATATACTGTATGTATATTTGATATTTTGTTAGAAAATAATTGTAGAAGCAGGAGCAGGAATGTTTATTTTAGGAATTCTGTTAACACTTGATAGAAGTATGTTCATTTCATTTAGATTTAACTTATAATATATATATACATTAATTTTTAAATACATTTTTTTCTTATAAAAATGAATTTTTCAAAACGAAGTTGTGGTTGACATGTATGTCCGGTTCCTGCTGATACTTAAGCTTCTGGTTTAACTTCTGGGAAGACAATATAGAGTAAAATGACATTTGGGCCTGTTTTCTCGTCTTGATGATTAACTAAAAGTCGATTTTAAACTTGAAACCTTAAACATTTATAGTGTGTGAGTCTCTATGCCGGTCGGCAAAAATAATGCATAAGTGACCATATATGTATAGGTGTGTGTCGATGCCAAAAGCCCGACTGCGTTCCAGAAATTTAGGAAACGTGTGTTTCTGGGATAGACACACACACAAATACAGTCACATTTTTGCCGGCCAGCATAGACACTCCCACACACAACACAAAAGAATTGTGAAATTTTAAATACTAAAACGAGAACGGAAGCTAACTTCGACAAGCCGAAGTTTTAATACTCTTTCAGACTTTGCCGAAGTTGCTAAAATTGCAAAAGTAGCGAGAAGAATAACAAAAGTTTAGAAATTATTCCTATGGCAGCTATAGGATATAGACTTCCGATCGGCAAGCGCATTTACCCTGATCAAGGTACGCGTAAATAAGTAAGACTTGGAAAAATTGATGTCAAAAGCTTATATACTGCGCGTAATGTGCTGAAAACCCTGATCGAGGTATGTATAAAAAAAATACGATTTGGAAAAATGCATATCAATAGCTTTTACGCTGCGCGCAATATCTTCAATTCTTGCAAGTAATATCCGATTGTTCCTATGTGACCAAAACGATATAGACGTCCGATCGGGGCGCTTTTCAAACTTGGTCTGCGTACACATATTTTAGGACGACTGTGAAATTTTCAGATCGCTAGCTTTAAAACTGAACTCGCAAACGGTATTCAAACAGACAGACAGACGTACAGACGGACATGGCTATATCGACTCCCCTGTTGATCCTGATCAAGAACATATATACTTTATGGGGCCGGAAACGTCTCCATCACTGCGCTAAAAACTTCTGACAACTCACTTATTTATAAAGTTTAAAAAACACTTCTCACCTTTTCTTGCACTTCTTGCAAGCGAACTTCGAATTTCGTAACTGTCCTTCTCCCCTTTAATTTATTGGATTTTTGTCGCCATCCTGCATGATTCTCTCTTTTTCGAGAACTTTCAAAAAGAAAAAAATTAAAATTAACCGTTTTTTAACATCAATGGTTAAAATGAAAATCTCTTGTAAATATCAAATGGACCAGTCGTTACCGAATTGAACTTTACGATTATTTTTTGGTGTGTACCTGTAACATTTGTAACTTTACAGATTTTCATAAAAAATTTCTTGAGCACATTTTTGAAACATAACTCTACACGATAAGGCAAAACCAAAATCCTTTTTTGCATCGATGTTTGCTATGTTTTCCGACTATCGATACCATCGATACTATCGATTGTGGTATTCTTTGCTTTAACAACCAAACTTTGCTTATTTGATGAATACGTGAAATTTAATTGTACAGCGCAATAAATTTATTGGTAATGCATAGTTGCGCTGTCAATATTTCGAGTATTTGAGGATCTAAATGATCTTTATTTGGCTTAAAAACATTTTTTCTTCTGTTTAAGAATGCAAAGGAAAACACACATTTTTGTCTGAATTTTACATGATTTAAGACGGCATTTTTATTTATTTCCAAATCAAGATGAAATTGTTAATGTTATATTTATTATACAGCTTGCAGTGCTCGGAAACTAAGCTAGAACAGGGTTGTTAATAAAAATATTTTTATCGGCTGAACCCGGTGACTTAGATCTAATTTAGGTTCGAGTCTCATTTTGTAGATATTTATATTCCTGGCCCCTGACACTTACAGTGGCGGAAATAATATTAGAAACGACCATTTCGTCTGCACTAAAAGGCCAATTTTTAAATATGTATGCAAGTTATTGAGTTAAGTTATTTGTTTAAATATGGTTGTTAACCGTTTACAAAGCGCCAAAAGACTACTTCATTCCATGGGAAACACACAAAAACTTCTTTTAAAATGATATGGCAAAATCATGCTAGACAGTTTTTTTTTAGCTTTGGCTATCGGTCTGATACTCTTAATGTAAGAACAAATGTAGGTTCTAGACTTTTTTAACATACTTAAGAGTTTATTACCGTCATATCATGAGTAAGACAGCGATTTAAAGTAAGCATTTAGACAGGATAATGACCAGAAGCGCGTGTAAGCCCTCTTTAACTTTTTTCCCTGGAAAAAAGAGAATTCATATTTTGGAGTGGCCGGTAAAACCAATGCTCCAAAATTTGACTTAGAACTTTGAAGGGTTCCTTAAAAACGAATTCTATATTCTTAAATCCGAATATAAGAAAGAATTGTGGGAAAATTACAAAAAATATAGCGGTGCGCCAGTAACAACCAATTTTGTTCCAATCTGAAAATTTAGTTACCTCGTTAGTGCTCTGCAAGCTTAAAAACTGATTAATATATCACTAAATATAAAACGAATCAGTCATACACTTTAAACAATCAAATAAATACTGTGTTTTTGAGACTTAAGTGCAAAGTTTCTATTATTTTTTCCAAGGAAAATATTTATTTTATTTTTTCTGTTAACAAAAAAATTGAATATAAATTGATGTTCTTTAATATAAAAAATATAAAAAAAATGGTTTCTATTTTTATAGTGAGAAACAATTGAATAATTTCTACGCGTTTTTATTATCTTTTTCCGCCACTGTATACTTTACCTTAAACTCACTCAGAATGTTTTCATCTATAAACTATATTTATGTTCAAAACATTAGAAATAGTATGAAATGGCGTTCATTTTGGTCAAATATGGCACAAATGTGTTATTTCTATCATACTTGGCAAAAAGATCTAAAACGAATGCAAGTTTTTATTTATCGCAATGGAGAAAAAAATATAAAACTAATAAACCGGAATTATAAGGCCAGAAATATAAATAGCAACGCTTGTTCGATGCCAAAGACCATTTTTTTGGCTTAAGCCCTAATGCTTTACATTCTAATACTTTGTATTTCCGTTGCGAACTCCAGTTTCCTCCATTTAATAGCCGATCATTCAACTTTTAGCTTATACTATAGATTTACCTTAAACATCAACAACTTTTTACAGTAAGCAACTTTCCGAATAGCACAAAAATTATAGATTTATCTTGACCAACACGATTTATGAGGGTATTGCTTACGAAGTAGTTTATCTTAGTTAGTCTAGCACTGGGTTTCCATGATGTTTTGTACACATTCCATCGAATAGATTAGCCGGGCCACGCCCCCAAAGCCATCGGAAGCGTTAGGATCGGCAAGTACGGTGCGAGACAGGATGCCCAGCCCTTCAGGTCCTGCATGCGATCCAGGTCGTCGGTCAAGGACTTGGCGTCATGCTTCACGGGGTACGGGCTCTTGCCGTCCGAGCGATAGGAGGCGCTGTGATCGGAACCTGAAAGTGGAGGATGGGAAGGGGAATGGGAATGTCTTCAATGATTGATTGAAATATTTATGGTTCTTTTGTGGACTCTTTGTTTTTAGTACTCCGACTCCGACTTAATCAACTGACACATGCCACTTTATGGGGCGCCCTTCATGTTGGCGGGACTCGAATGTCATCAGCTGAATGTCCTTTTTCAATTATGCGCTTGCCACACGCCAACGAGCATAAACAATAGACCCAGGATGCGTTTATGACCAGCCATTTGTAGCAGGCGACAATGCGAAAGAGATAAAAGGACCCCCGTACTCGGGATACAGGATACACAAACCCAAACTGTTTGTCAACTGGCAGAGCAGAAAGTATTGCATAAAAGGGACACAACTTTGCCTGCCCCACTTATTTATAACATTCTCACTTATACAGTTTCCCACTCAATCTCTTCGAGGGAAGCGAAAGTATTTCACCTCCCTTGCCCAACTCGCCCAACTCGTCCTTGCTGGTATTTTGTTTCAATTTCACTTGGCAGCATCGAAAATTGTTTCGATTTTTATTGCTTAAGTGCGTTAAACCCTTGCGCCATGCATCCCAAACACGGAGGGGGAATTGTGGGAGGCATTCAGGACACATGGGAATCGGGATGGCGAGTTTGCAGGAGGTGCAGGACTGAGTATTGTTTTTGCCATCAATTTATCGGGCAGTATTTTTTGGTGTTTTTTTTGGTGTTTTTTTTGCGAGTCGTCTTCCTTTTTCGGCTGTTTGTTTGCCCGGAAATCTGGTTCATTGGACATTTGTTTGCCTGTTGTGGAACGGGGCGTTTCTGTTCTTCTTTGTTGCTCTGCCCGATTTGGTTTTGTTTGACTTTGACGAAAGGCCATTGGTCATTAGGTGGATGGCAAACAATTGTTTGCGGGAGATCTTGTTTGGCTTGAGCCTGCGAGCAATCTACAGTATAAACAACCTAGGGATTACACCCAGGTTGTGGCGCTTAAATTGGTTCGCGTATCAAGCTTGCGCAGAAAATTCACTTTAAAGGGAGTTAAAAAAAAAAGGATCATTAAGTGCGAAAATAATAAGTTCAAATTGTTGTATGTTTTTTATGATTTTTTTTAGCCTCTGATACTAAAAACTCATTTTTTACTTTCATTAGTTTAGGGAGAGCATTTGGGAGGTTGGGTTCCACTAAAATTGGTACTCCAAGAAAATTACACTTCTTAATGCCAACAAAAATAACAGAAGATATGTAGTTGGAATTTAAATAATCTTTTAATAAAACAGAGAGGTCATTTTAGATTACGGTGGGTGTGCAAAGAGTGATTTTTTGTTGCTTTCACTCTGTAAATTGGTGAAAAAATAAAAAATTACATGACATAGATAAATTTATTAAAAATATTCACGAGAAAAAGTGTAGTTTTTTAACTCCCTTGTGGCGACCTCCTCTATTCAGACAAGCTAAAAACCAAAAAGAAGTAAACATCCGGTGACCCCACAAACCGTAATCGAACTTCATTGCATTAAACGAACTTTGTCATAACTATGAAATATGGCCCGACGGCGGGTCCTTCATTTTCGGAGCTGTTACCTTCGGTCCATCCAGGGACTTTTCGAATTGTTTTTAACGAGAACCCTTTTATTTTTATAACGGAAATGCGCAAATTGCTTTGCACCGGGTTGAGAATGTATTTGTCAGTCTGTGTGTGTGTGATTGTGTGTCCCCGGCTTTTTTTATTTTTCCATAAGCAGCTTTTCCACAAAACTCCTTTGGCTGCTGTTCCTGACTGGCGTTGCCTTGCTTGTTTTGCTGGCGTCTGCAAACATTTCCATTTCCATGTGTGAAAGCAGGCAACACCAACACGCACCGAGGTCCTTCTGCTGCCGCCTGTGTGTGTGTGTGTGGCTGATTTTTATTGACGTTTGAGCATGTGTTTATGCGTACCTCGGTGTGAGTTCGTCTCCCAACGGTGTCTTTAAAGAGCTTAGGCGTGGAGAAAGGGGGGAAAGCAAAGAAAGCCTGTTTTTCCCAAGCAAAACGCTTTATCCCAAACGGAGCACTCTTAGAACTGCTCGAAACTTAAAGACGGTTTGCATGATTCCTCGGTCGATCCGCGGGGAGCAATAGGCCTAATAGAAACAAACTGGTTCTGCCTACGATACCCTCGTACCAAAAAGTCGGGGGCAATGATGGGTGGCGACTAGCTTAACTCCATTAGGCAGCAGCTATAACACCTCGATTTCCGAGCCTGTTGCACTTAATGGAAGTAAAAGGAAACGCAGCCTGCACTCTGCACTTGAGACTCACTTTGGTCCTGGCATGCGTGGTATTTATTGTGCGGTTTCCCCACTTCCCAAGCCCTGTTTTTCCCCCAAAAGAGCGGCTGCATCGCACGCGATGTCTGTTGCATTTCATTTACTTCATCATTTTTCACGGAGCGGCATGGAGAAGAGGAGGGCAGGATGGCAGGATGGCAGGATGGCCTGTGCAAATTATAGGCAAATTATTGCCAGACACTGAATGCTGAAGTAATCATCCGTCCGGAACCGAGTCGGATTCGGAGCCGGACCTCCAGTTTTCCCTGGCCGGGCAACGCCATTTTCTTTTATTGCATTTCCTTGTAATTTGTGCCATATTGTTTGGCTGTTGGGCGCACAAATTAAATATGACAGCGACAAGAGGGAAACACCAGCAGCTCCTGTGGTTGATTGCAACATTTTAATGACGGTTTAAGTGGCGGCCGAATGCATCTGCAGCACTTAATGGCCACACCGGTTTTGTGGCCTGGGCGAACTAAGCGCTGACCGAGCGAACGGGGAATCGACTCCATTGATAATTGGAAATTGAATTTAATTGGCATGCGGACATGTGTTCGCACATCTGGGTGCAAGATAAACTCACTGAGATAGCCCGACCATTATAATTTATCAGTATTAGAGTTTTCATAGTAATTCGTTTATGGGAATTGTGCCTTTAAGTGGGTTTTCGCTTTTCCATTTACTTAGGTGAGTAAATACCTACTTATTAATAGTGTTTGATTAATTTCAAAAGTCAACTGCAATTACTTTTTCAAAACGCACAGCAGGTGTTTGTAATTTCCTCATATTGAAATACCTGAAGGCTTTTAATATGCAAAGGACAAACAGCAAGAATATTGGCAATTAACACAATTGAACACAATTTGATGAAACGTAAACATAATAGGAACTGAACGGAAAGCCAAACTTTTTAGGACATTTAAAAAGCGACCGAAAATAAAAAGTTATTTTGGTATAAATGTGATGACAAATTCATAACATTTTTTAATAAAGACTTTGTTCTATTGAAGAATTTTCTTTGTGGACCTCTAAAAAAAAACATTAACATATAATAAAACATAAATTTATTTCTCTTAAAATAACAGTTTGGGCAGGCTTTTAATATATTATTCAGAGAATAACTGTTACGAAGGACTTTTAAAATATCATTTATATCATGACTGTCAATTATAATATTTTTTGTGATTTATATTTCATATATCGTAACTCATAATATAGTTTTTATAGAACCAAAAAATGAGGGTTACATTTATAGTCGTTATTATTACTGTACAACAGAATAAAAAATACATTGGTGCGACTATATAAATTTTGTAATTTCTCCATCTCCCTCAGTTTTCGAGAAAAAGGACCTCAAAGTGCCAAAAAGGAAGTTTTTACGGGTACTTTGACGGTACTTTTAAAGACCTTAAAGGCTCATGATTGGTGGTGCCTAAGATATGCTATACCATTTTTTAGAACAACAATATTCATGTTAAGTTCTAGTTATTTTCAATAATTTCACTATAGAGAAAAATAGGTTCAGGCAGTAAAATTCGAAGGTCCCGTAAGATCTAATTTTTTGAAATTTTTTTTAAAAACTGAGGGGGATGGAGAAATTCCAAGGATGAGGTCGTGTTCAGCACACCGAGATTTATAGAGTCGCACCAATGTATTTTTCATCGTCCTCGATTTTTGGCTCACTGTAACAGTTATTTTGTGACTCATATAAAGTGTTTACACTTGGACTAGTAAGATTACAGTCTTTAAATAACAGCAAGAATTGATTTTGATGTAAGAACCACAGAACTTCTATAAAAAAAGTAATACATTTTACTATGCCTGCTTGAAAGTGAAAGGAGTGAAGAATGGGAAAACTTTAAATTTAAAACACCTTTAGAGTGCCGAGAATCAAGTGATGGCATCACTTTCGCTTAACACATTTCCATGTCCCGCAAATAAATGAACGTTGTGTGTTGGGGGAGAAAGGAGCGCTTTGGTCATGAAACTCCGCTTGTCGCTGGCGTGTTCCGCCTTAAAGTGTCAGCGGCCGGGCAAAAACAGTCGCGACATATGCAAAACGCGGCAACGATAAGCGAACAAGCCACCCCCCTCGGGCGGCGGTGGCTACCCAGCAATACACACTACACACTGTACACTACACACCATACACCATACACATCCACCTCCTGGCACGATATGTGCAACATCTAGCAGGTAATAAATCTAACTGTAAACGCAGCGCTTACGACGTTGCATGCCGCGCTCGAAAGTTGTCGTCATTGCAGCACCCGCATCCAAGAGCCCCATTTACCAGCCCCATCTGCCACCCGCCTCCAAATGGATGGCCATCCTGCAAGAGATGCAACATTTCTGCTTTCTGCTTTTCTGCTTGCGTTTGCCAAAAAACGACGACGGGATAAGTTTGGGGGCAGCTCCATCGCCTTGACGCCTTGTGTGCAATTTGTCTGCTATTTTTATATTGCGCTTTTCGGGTGGCACGCCCTTTTACCGACGCCCACACCCACGCCCACACCCACGCCCACCCTCATATTCAATTTGTTCGATTTGATTTTGTCGAGTGCATTTTATTTTTAGTCGTGCGCGTATGCAGAAAATTCCCGCATCGCAGCAAAGGGCCTGTAAAGTTTTATGCGTTCGTCCTTGCGAAAGGGGCAAAAAAAAGGGAACATTGTCGCCAATTGTGCGATCGGCGGAGGAAGTGGAAATCGGAAGGCAAGTGTAAAACTTTATGCTTATCGATTGGCAGCTGCTCCACGGAGACGTTGACTTGCGCTTTAACCCACCAGTTCGATAGTTTCATAGGCACCTCGGGCTGACTGGATTTCTCCCTCCTTTCGGCCAGAACAAATAGCAGAATCCCATTATTATTTATTATGATTGTACATTACGATGGTCCGCATTAGCAGCACATTATAGCAGACACACTGTCAACTCAGCAACTGGGGTGAAGATTAGATGGACACCGAATAGATCCCAAAAACCTTGCCGTTGCATGCCAGAAAGTCGTATTTTCTCTCACAACGCGACAAAAAGAATACGCCAGCAGACAGAAAGAGGAAAGATACAAAACACATACTTTCATATGTGTTGGCCAAGTATTTGTACTCTTTCGCAATTGATGAAGGGGGGTATATTGGACCATCAGAGCCTTTGGTTTTAAATAGATTTAAAGTCTTTATAATGACTTGATTTATATTCTTTTTAATTATGGAAGACCACGTTGATATCAACCTTTGATAGAATAGGTATTATTTTGTACAGGGTATCTGCAGGTCAATACCTTTCGCGCATGCCAAGGTTCCCTCGCAGCACGAGCCAAAAGTATCTATATCTAACAAGTGGCGACAACGACATGCCAGAGACCCTTAAGCCAAGCAGCTAAAGTCGTTATGATTTGTCATAAGCATAAAATAAATGGCCAAATATTTATGGTGTGCTACAGCGCCCCCAGAGAGGGATTTCCCATCGATTGCCGGGCCTGCGAGTGGCTTAACGGTCCGATTCCCCCGAGGTGAAACACACACAGCTCACAACTCACCGAGATTCTGCTGCTGCTGGTGCTGCTGGTGCTGCTGCTGGTGGTGATCCCTTCCCCGCGAGGAGGACGAGGAGTGGTGATCCTGCGAGTTCCACAGACTGGACGTGGCCCCCACGAAGACGTTGTTCAGTCCGGAGGAGGCCTGATCCTGGCCCTTGTTGTTGGCCTTGCCGCGCTGCAGCTTCGTGCTCTGCTGCCCGCTGCCCGGGTTGAAGTTGTACGGATTGTTGTTGCTGTTGCCATTCGCGTTCTGGTTGCCGCTGTTGCCGTAGCGTTGATCTGCGATTGGGAGAAGTATAAATAAGTAGTCTCAGTTTGGGGATGGCCAAAAACCGGGTGCTCACCTTTGTTGTACTTCACCATGACCACGGGCACTGTGTTGATCGAAACGGTCGGAGCCATTGTCGTCATCGTGGTGGTCTGCGGAATGTCTGCGGAGGGCGAAAGGCCTGATTTAGCGATTCAAGGCAGTATTTCAGCCGGAGAAGCCCAGCGATGCTGAAACCTAATCTACTTGTTTACCTGAACTTGTTGCTCTAAAAGCTCTGGTATATCTGGTTCTGTTTTAAAAACACAGTTTTCGTTGGCTTCGATTTGTTAAATTCAACATTTGCCTTTGGTTCAATCTAGGCTAAGAATAACTATGGTAGCCATACATAAAGAAGGTTAAACTATCTTAATTCAAAATTCGGATTTTGAATGTGCCTTCTTAGTAAAATTAAATTGACATCAGCTACATTTCCAAAGTCATTTCAATTTGTCATATCTACAACATTTTTTTATTGTTCCTATTTGTTAAATTCAACATATGTCTTTGGTTCAAACTTGGCTAAGTCAAAGGTCTGAGACCAATCATGGTAGCCATAAATATGGAATGTTTAATTAACTTGATTTTAAAATCGGATTGTGATTGCCCCTTTTTAAACGTCCCTTTAAAAACTAGTGTTGCGAGAACAATAAAATTTAGATCAGCTACATTTCCAAAGTCATTTTAATTTTTCATATCTGCATTATTTTAAGTAAAAGAAATCAATTAAAATAACTATTAAGGCCCAGAACTCAGGATACAAAAAGAGCTTCCAAAACAAAAATACCACTTAAACTCAATTATTTAGATAATTACTATTATTTAATTAATGTGTAATTCACACTGGCTAAATTGAAACAAAAATTTTTACTCTCATTATGTATATTTGCCTATTAAAACAAATGGAATCTAATGCTAATGGCTCCTGTTACTACAACATAAGAGGTCAATGATGGGGACAATATAATAGTTTGTTATTTAATATTGCATTTTCATATTAGCTCGACATTTTAGTACAAAGTGGTGGCTATGACTTCCCAATCATTCATCATTGTCATTTTGTTTCGAACAAGTGAGGTCGCCAACTGCGCCATAACTTTTAAAGCAGAAGATTATTACATTTTTACCATCTGTTTCGAAAGATTTAGTGACTTTTTAAATTAATGTTTGAATTAATACTCGCGGTTGCATTTGATATCAGTCGATAGCTCAAGAAAGTATTGCTTGAATAGTAGTTGTAGTATTTTTTCTTTGGTAGCCGGAGTACCAAAACAAAATTGTACTACCAAAATTTTTGTGAAGTTTTTTGTTTTGCAAGCAGTTTTGGTTGCCTGAATACAAAGCCTTAAACACGTTTCTTTTGCCAAAGTTTCTTTTTAACAAGTAGCAGCTGTGTTTTTTAAATATAACTATAAACGTCGTCAGTTCTTAATGCCAGGGGATTAGGCAAACACTTTACTGGAAATTACCATATGTTTGACTTTCTCTACACAAGACTGGAGGAAGGGTTACGGGTCGGAATAGCCTGCTGCTCGTAAATCAATCACTGACACTGGGAAACGGTCACCTTCGAACTGCGAACGACCCTTTGTTTTACCAGGAATTTATCAGGCAAACACACATTGCTGTCGGCTCCCGCAGAGTCATTGACTTAAATTAATTAAAAGCTCCGGCCGGGCAAATAGTTTGCGCCTAATTGCCAGGGGCGCTCTGACTTATGGCCATTGTTGTTTGGGCTTTGGTTTTGGTCCTGGCTATGGATATTGTTATTGTTATTGCCATTGGCACTGCCAGGGCATTCATGTAGTTATTGTTACTTACGCAAATACTTACGGTACAGTTTGATCGCGCCGTCTGTGTCGCCAAGGGAGTTTTTGGCCACACATCGATAGGCCCCGAAGTCCTGGATGTCCACTTCGAATATGGTCAGGCGCATGGTTATTTTGTAGCCCGATTCAAAGGTTTCCGGCACAAAGCGCTCGCCTGAAAGCAGAAACGTAGGTCATTGTAAGAGGGTTCTTCCTGAAACCGCAGTGCACTTTGCCTCTTTTCGAGTCGAACTTACTGCCTCCTGCCTTCTCCTCCTCACAGCCTCTTGTCAAAGTAATTTAACTAGGAAAGAACTTTGCATTCGCCCTACTCAACGCAACTCAACTCAGCTCGGCTTAGCTCAGCTCAAATGGATCCAACTGGGGCAGACCCAAGTTGGTCTTGGTCTGGGTCTTGGTCCTGCCCTGCCAAATGGTTCGTTTTAATTTATACAAAAACAAGTCTGCTATGGGCATTGTTGCTTGTCCCGTTTTTGTTTGTCATGCAGGTTTTGATTTACGTTTGATGTCGGTTAGATTTAGTAGCACTAAGCCGAGCATTACATTCTGTCCAGGTTCGGTAATTGTTATGCATGTCGGCTGGGCGACTGATTACCCCAGCAAAATGCCATTGTGATGGCCCAAGCAGAGACGAAGATTCCTCCCTATTCTTGATTAGAAATAATTGGGATTCGGGGGACTAGAACGGGAAGTTCATTTAAATTGCTCTTCGCCAACTGGGCACTTTCGCCGCCTAATCAAGGGCCTCTTTAAATGGCTACACTTGAAGGTTTGCTGCCACTCCCACTGTTTTTGCGGTTATGGAAAACCTTCCCACTATCTCACAACTAAAACAGAAAACTCCATTAAAATCCAACGGCGGTCGGACAGTTGCCGGCAACTGCTTCTGACTTGAGGTCATTTTCAATCACTTTTTCCCATTTTCTCCGCTGGCAAAAAACAACTTGAAAATAACTGGAAAAAAGAAAAGCGTACGAACTGCATGTCTGTGACTTTTTCCGCCGGCCTCTATGCCGATGACGATGCCTTTTCCCGGCCACGGGGCGCTAGAGGGTTAAGTGGCACGAGGGGCACTGCCGCAGTTATTCTGCGACCGCGGATTCGAGTGTTCGGCTGAATGTTTATTTTTTCCATCGCTTTTTCACTCGTGCTCTGCAGCACTTTTTGTCATCGTGCTCAGTCCATTTCTCAGTGAAGATGAGTGGAGGAGTTGAAGAGGTTAAATGAAGAGATGGACCCATCCATCGTTAAAGGCCCTTACAAAATTAAATTGAACGTACTGGATGAGAGGTCGGGCAGAGCAAAGCTCTACACTATTGGAATTGAACTGCGAATAAGACACGGTTGATAGCGACAGTTATTAATTTAATAATCTCATTGCAAAGATTTCAAGCAAGCCCTTTCAGAATCTCACTTTGCCGGAATTGGATATTGCACCAATTTCTACTATAACTTTATCTGCAGCTTTTTCTTAATTTAAAAGCCTCACTGAAAATATGCAAATTTATTTTGTTTTGGGCTAACAAAAATATCTCCAGAGTCAGACATAACACACCACACAATTCGAGCAGAACAATCTTAGTTGAAATATGAAGCTTTTGAGGATTCGCCGATTGAGGTGCCACTAGGACCTCAAAACTATTAATAAAAGTGCTTAAAGGTATGCAACAATATATTTAAAGTTTAGAAGTAATGTGTGAACTACGACTTTAATTTTTGAAGAGCATACTTTTGGAGTGGTTTAAAAACTCTATTGATTTCTGTGGCTTTTTTATTTTGCATTGTAATTAATGGCTTTACCGATTCCTAAGCTTCCAATGGGTTAAAAGTTCATTGATATCCTGGCAAAGATTATGTTTACCATTTGCAGTGTGACTTACCCGGCACGATAATCGTATCGTTCTTCATCCAATAGTTGATGGACTTGGGATACGCCTCCGACTGGCATTCCAGGGTTATGTTCTGGGTGAGCGCAGCGCCGACTAATTGATTTTGTATCCAAATCATGGGAGGAACTGTAAAGAGGAGAGAAATGCCAGAGCCAGGCGTGAGCAGAGGGGATAAACGCTGAGGGCAAATATGTGGGCCGAAGTTTTGCGTCAGGTGTGGAATGTTTGAGCGATTGGACGGAAGTGTGGGTGGGTATCCACCAACGAAGGAACAAAGAATTCCCATTTATAGAGAATTCCGTTCGTTATCGTTATTGTTTTTCTAGTGCTTTATGCCGCCGTTTGGCAGTTCGCTGCGGTTGCCATTTATTGTTTCCAACTAATTGCTTTTTAATTTTATAGCAAAGCCACAAAAAATGCTTTGCTATCGGAACGATCCGATCCGAACCGAACTAAACCGAACCAAACGGAAAACAATTGCGGTTGGCTAACCGAGGAGGATTCGTCCAGAGCAACTTCTCTGGCAGCCCGGCTTAAATATGTGCCGTGAACTTACCTAACAAATTGTTGAGCAATTTTAATTTTTATTTAATTAGCGAGAAGGAGCCAGGCAAAGTGCCCTGAAAATGCTAACTAGCTGCCAGAGGGCGGGGAGCTGAGCACACACTTAATTATTTGCTTTATGCTTGGCACCTAAATGTATACAGCATTTTCCGGAACTCCCCCCTCCACCTCCCACCTCCCATACCCCATACCCCACTCACACTCGCAGTGGAAAATTAAAATGCAGGGCATATTTAGCATGGCAAGATTTCGAGTGGGGCTTTGTGTGAGTCGCAGTCTGTGACTGTGTCTGGTGTTTTCCGCTGCGGTCTCGTCTGGAGCACCCTGCTCCCTGCTCCCTGCTCCCTGCCCCCTGACCCACAAGCAGCAGTAGCAGCAGTAGTAGCATGCGGTGTCCTGGCGCAGAACTATAAATATTTAAATATGCTAAAATTGATGGCCCGCCCCGCCCCGAATACTCACAGTGCACAATGAGCATCACACGCTTGCTGACTGTTGGCGGGATGCCATTGGAGGCGATGCAGAGGTAGGCGCCCATGTTCAGCCGATTCACTTTGGCGATGGTCAGGAAGGATCCGTTGAAGGCGACGGCTGGGAATGGTAAAGAGCACAGACGACGGCGATTAATATCGGGGCCACCGCTGGGCATATCTATTGCAGCAATCGTTTTTAGAAGCTAAAAATATGCCGGTGAAACTCCATAATCGCCAAGCTAGTTAAATCACAGAGCATTACGGGAATAAGTGGCTTTTAAACTGCCCCGACACAAGTATTATTGTTGAATTAGTATTATTAAACATCGTTTTTGATTTCAGATTAGCTTGATACCACTTAATTCAATTTTGTATTAACTTTGCTAATATGCTAATAAAAAATTGCATAATACCACTGCAACTTCTAGATAAGATAATTCCACCGCACATGCAATACATGAGATGATACTTTTTACATGTTTCAACAACCAGACTTAATTGCTTAAGCGTATACACTAAATCAAAATTCAATTGCAACTTCGTAAATAAAAAATTTACCTCAAAACAAGAAAGAAAGCAAACTTCGGCAAGCCGAAGTTCATATACCCTTGCAGCTATTGCAAGAATTTAACATATTTGAAAACATTAAAATTATGATTTACTGCGTATATGTTTAAAAACATTGAAGCTATGATGATTAGCAACTCAATTATTTGATAGTTATTTTATATATTTTTATTATTTCTATGGGAGCTATATGATATAGACGTCCGATTTTGATCAAATCTAAACCATAATTCTGAAATATTTAACCATTGCTATATGTCGAAGAACTGAACAAAAAATTAAAAAACAGAAAAGTTATAATTTTTTTCATTTATTTTTCCGATTGTTCCTATGGGAGCTATATGCTATAGTCGTCCGATTTTGATGAAATTTAAACCGTAAATCGGAAATATTTAACCATTACTAAACGTCGAAGAACTAAACAAAAAATTAAAAAACAGCAAAGTTATAATTTGTTTTCATTTATTTTTCCGATTGTTCCTATGGGAGCTATATGCTATAGTCGTCCGATCCGGCTCGTTCCGACTTATATACTACCTGCAATAGAAAGACAACTTTTGGGAAAGTTTCATGCAGATAGCTTTAAAACTGAGAGACTAGTTTGCATATAAACGGACGGACAGACGGACAGACGGACAGACTGACAGACGGACAGACGGACGGACAGACGGACGGACAGACGGACATGGCTAGATTGACTCTACTAGTGATGCTGATCAAGAATATATATACTTTATAGGGTCGGAAACGTCTCCTTCACTGCGTTGCAAACTTCTGACTGAAATTATAATACCCTCTGCAAGGGTATAAAAATTAAGTTAAAATATACTTAGATCCAAAATAAAATGTTTATAAATCGACTATATCATGACAAAACCTATGAAAAACAATGAAGTTACTCCCTTTCTGAATGTGAACACATTTAAAGTAGTTGTATTTATTCTTAAAATATAACTGCCAAGTAATATGTTTTTGTCTACATTTTTCTGCATTTGCTTGACATGCTTCGAGGGCAAGATAAATTGAAGCTTATTGTCTTTCACACTTAGTGGTTCCTATTGAAGTATTTTATGCATAGCCCAAAGTAAACCAAAAGTTTATTTGTATTTTTCCTAAATGAACAACTGCTAGGATTGTGTTCACCAATAAAGTTGGTCTAACTGAAGTGCACAAAATAGCGCACAAATAAACCGAATACCGTCTAACATTTTTTCACTTTTCGCCTTAATCTAAATATTTGTATGTTAAATTTTAATTTAATACTGGCCATTACTGGACGTTATGAAAACCCCACTTGCAACGCTAACTTAAAAGTTTGTCCTTCAGTGGTTGTCTTTCTTTTGAAAGAAAGGCACATCTTTGGCATGTTTGATAGTTCCGCCTCCGTGCCTTCTTTTACCTCATTGCATCCATCTTGCTATAAATTCCTGATATTTGGCAATGTATATCTGAGTTCAATTTTTTCTGGGCGAATAAAACCTTAAATCGGTTGCGATTTTGATCTGGGGCTGAACGTTTATTTTGTTGTAACTACAAGACGCTGTGCATAAAGCAGCGATTAAGTTTCGAACGTTCAAACCATTTTACTTCCATCAACCGCAATAAAGCAAATTATGGAGCTCAGATTAGTTATTATTCGAGCAGCTTACACGGGTTAATTACCGAGGAAGGAAAGTAGCTTTAAAATGTTTTGTAATGAAATTTAATGCGGGAATAACACGCTTGGGCCAAAACTATCCCAAACCACTTCGCATGTGACCAGTGATGCCAGGAGTTGAACTCCCGCACAAGCTAGATTCTGTATAAACAAAGGCTAAAAAGACTATATGATACCCATTACTCAGGTTATTCACTTTAAAATAAATATTCCTCAGAACACAATTGTGTGGCGCCACCTGTCGAACTGAAGGATCACTACTACCAGCTAAAATACGAAGTGCACTACTTACTTAGCCGTGTTTTAGAGTGACATGACAGAGTTTCGCGATTTGTAGGATGTTAAGTCCCAATTCTGTGGCTGTTATAGTCAAAGCACAGGCTTAACCAGATCGACTTGACCATGATCAGTCGACAACGCTTCCTTTTAACTGTTAAAAAAAAGGATTAATAAAAATAAAAACCTAAAAATCCTATATAAAAGATTTAATTTAAATATTTAATAATAATAATTAATATTATTTAAATTAATGTGGAAAACATTAGAATAAAAATAGTTCCGGTTTGATTAAAATTAATTTTATTTAAGTTAAAACTGTATGTTTTCAAATAGTAAAAGTAAAATAATGTAATAGTAAAAAAATATATGGTTGTTAAAATCAACAATTTACATTTCATTTTAAAATTAAAAATTTAATAATATTTAATATTAAAAATTTGAATAAACGTGGAAAATATTAGATCTGCAATGGTTCACTTTTATTTTATATGCAATATATTTATGTTTAATATAGTTTCAATTAAAATTAATTTTTAGATATAAAAAATATAAACACTTTCCGTTTCCATATTTAAATTAAAATAAAAACTACATTTTCCTATATTTAAATCAATTCCCAAATTTTGACTACAATAAAAAAAATGTACAAACATAAGCAAAACAAGTAGGTATTTTTGTACTATATACTAATAAAACAGGTTAAAGTGCTGCTCATTAAATATGAAACGTAAGAACTAGGACATGGTAGAATTATCAGGACTATCTTTGCTTTCTATTGGTTATGCCTTTTTTTATATATGGACTACATAGACTTAAATATATGCTTGCTGACGGCAAAACGCTATGTATAATTTGTTAGACAATTCCACACTTAAATATGCTAGATCTAGCCTGAAATGGGCTAAACTGGCCTCACTGCAAGCGACTCACCCTCTGCTCCGTTTGGGAGCGGTATCAGCTCGCCACCTTCGCGTCGCCAGGTTATCGTCGGAGTTGGAGATCCCGTCGCGGCGCACTTAAGGGTCACGTTGGAGCCCTCACGTATTACCATATCGGTGCTGGTCGGGTAGTCCAGTATATCGGGCGGCACTGTGGGTGGACGCCAAAACACGTGCCCACATGTACGCGGAGATACGAAGTTTTTAAGCGGCATATTATTCATACGCAGCGTGGGACAGACACCGCGTTGTTGTTTGCGTGAATTGTTCGCCAGGTGTCAGACAGTTGGCAGTAGGTTGAGTTACAGTTTGTTAGCGGTGATTAAGTTGTTTGCAAGAAAGAGAGGGATTTAATAAAGACATTGTCATTATGTTATTTTAGCTACTGTTCCATAAAAATACTAATACAATACAATACAATAGAAGGCCACAGTTTAAGCAACAGTTTCATTCTTATTTTGCGCATGGCAAACCATAAGTTAGCTCTACAGTTTCTGGAAACTTGGCATTCCCATGCCATAGAAAACTGAAGAGCTTTATGTCTGCATGTGCCCTTTGCCCAGCACTGCAATTAATTATAATTTTACGCTCTACTATTCTGAACTTGCCAAAAAAGAAACAGTAAATAGCGGATGATGGCCCGAACAGTATGCAAAGAATATTGATCAACTTATGGAAACCCTTTTTATATTACATAGATTTAAGTGTCCTTCAGGAACACTTCCTTAACTTAAAGAATAGAGAACTCTTTAAAGTATTGCGATAGCTTTTTACCTTTTCGTAACTTGTAGTAAGTTTCTAAATTGATTTCCTTCTATTAACAGCACTTTATTTTTTTATTGCCTTTCACATCCCTCCAAAGTTCCCAAAAGCCAAATTATGACTCACACACAATGTAACTTTGAAGTCTTCATGCCAACAATGATGTGCATGTTTTACAAAATGTACTTTGACTTTTCGCTCGGCCCACACACAGCTGTATCCGTCATGTCCTACAAATTGAATGTAGGCTCCGCTCCAGCTGCTTTTGCTTTCACCCGTGTTGACTTTTCCTTTAATGGCTCGACTCATGTCACAAAGGCAGCTATAGCGGGGGGCGGCACAGGTGGGCGTGGCTGGCAATTTCTTTTCTTCGCCGCCATTATTGTGCGCGGCGTGAGCTGATAAGTTATGAAATCAGGTGAAATGATGTGTGATTAAGTTGACGGTAAAGAAATTAATTTCAATTGGATTGAGATGACGGCAAATGGCAGATATGAGTTTGACTGATTTAGGGATTTTCGATAAGAGCTTCAACTTAAAGCGCTAAATGCTAACAAAACTACAATATTTTTGAGAAAAAAAAAATCGGCCACAAAGCTGGATTAATAACTTTTCCATCAATTCAGGAAAACCCCAACAATTGCATTTGAAAGTATCCGCAAAATTGATATTTGTTTAATCGTTTATTCACATTTTTTAAGCTGTATTCAAATCAGCTCGTCTATTTCTGTGGACCCAGTTCAGCTCTTCGGACCCTTGGGCTTGGTTCAGTCCGAGCCCATTAAACCATAGGCAAAACGTCAGTAAAAGAACATATTGCTTTATATAAACTATTCAATGCCTGGCTGGCTTTCACACTCATCCCAGTACAAAAACATCACATCATCGCAAAAAACAACAAACTAGCCGGCAAACTAGGCAAAACAAGACCACAAAACTTCAGCGAGGAAAATGTGAGAAAAATACGGTTTGGTTTGGTTCGAAATTTGTTTTCTAACAGTGTTTGTCGGTTGTTCCATTCTGTTTTTATGATGTATTTTAGTGACGTTTTTTAAGAGGATTTAACGATTAACTTACTTTGTAGCTAGCCAAGAGACTTAAAAAACAGTTTTGTTATTACAAAAATTTTTTGATTGTTCTCAAAAATGACTTTAATATTCAAGTAACCTACTCATGTCAACATGTCTTAAATTTTCATAAATTTCTCGGAAAGGTCAAAAACTAAGTTTTAGTTCTGGATTATTTGAATCGTTTTAGTTTTGCAAGCTAGTGAAAAGTTATATTTGTATGATGCCTACTCCCAATTATATCACTGTGGACTGTCGTGCACGTAGTGTCGATGAGCATAGGAAAGAGAGTCCGCAAGGTGACTACCATAAATAGCCGCCATATTGACATTCAGCCAAAAATATTCCAATCTTAAAAAAAAACGAATTGCAATCAAATTGTATCGTGGTGGTGAAAATGCGACAAACAAACCGAAATCGTATAAAGCATTCGAGCACAGAGAAAATTCTGAGGCTAAAAAATTGAGAATTTGAATTCTTAAAATGGGGATGCATTCATTTTGAGTTCAGATTTTCCTTAACAACTCACATTGAGAATATCACTACCCATTTTAAGAACGATAACTTAAATTGAGAATATGTGTACATGAATTTTGAATTTGAAAACAAATGTTAATTATTAAATCTATCTTGCTTTTAAGTTATTCCTTATTCGTTGCAAAAATTAATAATAATTGACAAATTATTTGATATCATTGATTGTAAAAAGGTGTCTTTTGTTCGATTGGAATTTATAATTCGCGATTTTAATAAAATACTTGTACTCTTTACCTCATGTTTCAAAAGATTGGAACCTGGTGGCACACCTTTCAGGAGCTATTTTAATTTTAAGTGTCTTAAAATTAGTAAAATGAAAGTGAAAGCTATATCACATGGTACATGTTTCAGGCTTACACAAATTAGTGTCAAAATCTTACTAAGAATAAGCTTAAGAACTGTATCTTGTTAATATGATATGTGCATTCTTCGCTCCAAATTACCTTAAAAGCGGTGTAACTTTTTTAGTACAAAACTTTAGGTGGAACAAATTTAAAACTGTGCTGCAGCTTCTGACTTAAATTAAATACCCTTTGCAAAAGTATGCAAGGGATTGCCTTTGCGCCACACTGACCCTTCGATGTTTTGGTAACGTGTGGTTTATACTGCATAAGTTTTTGTATAAATGATTATAAAACTTTGTTTCATATCCAAACGTTTTAGGTTTACCAAATAAAAGAAAAAAAACTATGTTAATTAGGTAAGAAACATTTAAAACGTGGCGCTTGAATATTAAAATAAATAGACAAATAGTTCAATTACAGTTACAGCAGAAGACTTTGAAAACGGCCTTAACTGTTCAAACTGCATTACTAAGTCAACGAGCTGAAACGCAAGAATGACGTTTAAAATAGCAATTTTGTTGCGCGTTCAAGACCTGGTTTTATTTGAGTTCAGTCAACATGTTGCTGCTGTTCCAAATGAGGTCACAACAAATCCCCCTGCTCTCCGTTTTTCCAGTCCTTGTCAATTTTGGTTTATCAGCTTGCCCTTTTCCATTTCCCAGCGACTGGCTTATAAGTGCTGATCACTTTCACGCCGCCGTTTATTTGCTTATTTCGCGGTGTGGAAAACTACAACAGCGACGACGACAATAATAGTTGGTTGCCATCGCGTGGCCTGAATGGCTGTGAGTGTGGGTTTTAGGGTCGGATGGGATGGAGATGGAAGTGAAGGTGGAGGTGGGTGGAGCAGTGAAAAGCATACACCACAAAATCGAGCACTTTGTCAGTGGCAGCTGGGAAATCCGCGCTGATTTAAGGCGGCTTGCCATTTTGCTTATGGACTTAGTGCGGTTGTGTGTGAATTATTCCTGTGGCAAGCCGCTGTTGTGCTCAGTGTATGGGGCGGTGGACTGGGTCCTTAATGAATTTCAACATCAATGAAAACACAATCAACCAGAGTGGTTACTTATGCGGATGGTGCGAGGCGACCGGAAACGAGACACAAAACCCCAGCTCCGAAACGGGGCGGCATATTCATTTTAAATTCGCCTACGGGGCGGTTCAGCCCGCTCCGGTTGCTCTGAGGTTTTTCGGTGCCGCTCCAACGTCTACGCCGCCTGAATAATTAACGCCCGGACATGGACGACCTGGACATCGAAATGGACATGGACTTGGATGGGACTGGTGAAGGTGCAGGTGCACATAGCATGTAAATTGTTTCATTACCTATCGCTCTCCGCCGTTTGTGGCAACTAATGTGTTGGTTAAGTGAAAACTTTGCAGCCACAGCCCGTTGGCATGGAGCACGGCTTAAGTCGAACAGTTGCCTCTTCTTTTTGCAATTATACCCAATCGGGAGTCGTTGAAAGTTGCACAACTGCGTTTCCCTAGCCCGAACTCTGTTCTGCCTTCAATCGCAACTTGGCTGAGCAATTAGTGCAATTTGAAAAACTATCAACAGCAACTTTGTTCCAGCGCCAAGCCACTCCAGGCAAATTACAACTCATTTGCGCTGCCCTCAGAGTTACATGCATCAATTTCATTTCATTTCATTTCCCAAGCTTTGGTCTATTTCGCTAGCTGAAAAGAGGGAGCTTACGCAATCTTGAATCGAGTACTTACCGACGACGTCCAGGTAGCCCACTTGACTCTTCATGGGATCCGTGTTTATTTGGCACATGTACCTGCAAACGAAGCGAACGGGATTAGTTTACTGGATATGAAACGAGAAATTTGCAATTAAGGAACTCGTTCTGGACTTGTCATGTTTTAAAAGATTGCCCACGGGCAGACATCCTAAAATGCAGCCTGACAGTGGATACATTACCAGCCTTTGTCGGACTCCTTCACATCACGTATACGCAAAATCCAAGCACGTTTCTCGGCGTGAGTTATGCTCATGCGATGATTTTTGGTTATGACGTGATTTTGTATCGTTAAAATGGTCTGTGTATCGACACGTAGCCACGCAATCTAGAAGAACAGAAAACGTATACTGTAACTGGAGTGAAGGAAGCCGTTTATGTTTGGTTAGATTTGTGTTGTAAAACTAAAACGTTCAGCGATTTTCTCGTCCCCATGCTAATGCCCCAGTAGCGTGGCTTGAGCTCATTTATTACGCCCAGGCTCACGGCGAGTGGGAAAGTGAGAAAGGCGGGAAAACAGCGGGAAAATGTCACCAAGGAGGTGAAAAGCTTTTCGGATAATGCGCCTAGCCGATGAAAAGTAGTGCAAACTGTGCCGACCCGGAGGCCCGTGTTAAATTGATTTCAATTTTGTTCTATATTCTTAGTACTCGGGTTGACAAAGACCCTTCCTCGCGGCGGCTTTGTCATCGGGGGTATTATGAAATATAGCTCAAAGAAACTGGAAGGTGTGCTGTGCCAATCGCGAGCTTTGTGCTAGATTCTGAGTATTCCTGATTGCATAGCTTTGAGTTTGGATTGCTATACGGTCTGGGACACTTCTAACATGGTATCAAATCTAATTCAACAAATGAAACGCCAGTCTCATAGTGATCATCCTTGGGCAGAGTTCTCTTTGATCACCGGTTACTGAGGTTGTTCTCGCTTCGGCTTCGTTTTCTGGAGATCAAATAAACTCGAACCCAATTACCTCGGGGCACCCAAGCTATAAGGTAGAGAAAATGTTGTCTTCCCACTACTCAGACATCAATTTCACTAGCTTTCAATTTGTCTGCCCCACGCAACAGTGATAATGATAGCATCGTTTGGCATTACAATCCAGCACAATGGGCTCTAATAACCTGGTTAGATAGAATCAAAACGGACAAAAAAAATGGGGAACGAAGGATTTCCTATTTTCGTTTCGCCAATTCATTGAGATTTGTTTTTCGTTTTGTTTACCTTTTAGTGTGTCACGAAATCAAAGTACCGCCCATGGGCCCGGAACGTGCCTAACAAAAGGGTCAACTCAGCCCAAAAGGACGACACGCAAAGGGGGAAAACTAGGCAACAAACATTTCCCATATTAGCAGATTGAGTGAAAATGGTTTTAACTGACAGCGCACAGTGTTCCGAAACCCGTTTTTTATTTGGCATAAGCAACAAAATTAAAGTTACCAACGAAAATGAACAATTTACTATGTATTCCTATATGGACAAATCAATAGTTCCTAAGAATCTTATTCTTTTACTCATTTTTGAGAATGAACATTCAGAAAATATTATTTTACTGGTGATATTTTAGTTCAGAAATCGGTGCCATACTTCAAGGATAAAAACAAAAATTAATTTCTTAAATAATTATTCTCTGAAATCAGCAGTTTAATATAAAGATTTTTGGCTAATTGTGGAACACTTCCTTGAAAAATCTTAGTCTAATAAAAGATATGTTGTCACGTGTGATCTTAAATTCCGTACGAGAAATCCATTTATTATCTGCAGAAATGTACCCTTCTGTAGTGTAAAATTCACCTTGCAGTGCGGACGAGAAAACGGCCATTAGACTCCCTTACTTTTCAATATTTAAATATAGTGCTCATACAAAATAAAAAAATTTGTTTGCATTGTTGACTGTAAATTGGCAGTGGGAAACACTGTGCAGGGAAAAGAAGTACGTAGGCAAAAACTTACCTTGTAGGTCTGCAAATTGTCGACTACGCACTGGAGTATAGCCTCCCGACTCACGGGCACCGTCACATTCTGCAAGAGCTCACCGAACTTTGGAAGATCTGCAAGGGAAAAGTGGGAAAGAGTACTGAATGGTTCTCCATCTAATCTAAAACAAGGTACATATCAGGTTGTTTCCTATGATCGATGATTGAAACATCTGTATCTACCTCTGTTTCGAATGGACAAAAGGCCAGCTCCAACAAAGTAACTATCGTTTTGTCAAATTATTTAAACCAGAGGTCATACTTGCCTTAGAATAGGGGAGCTTGACTTATGTGCGTTATGTTTAAGTTAAGAGCCTTAATTCTAAGATAATTCGACTATCAAAACAGCATGCTATTTTGTATATATCAAATCAAAATGTTTTTTTTACAGAGATGACGAATTGATTTAAAATAAATAATATAACAAAAATGGAACTAACATTGGAACCTTGGATAATTTGACCTTAGAATAAGTTTCAAAAACGTTAGCGAAAATTTGAAACAAGTTTTGTTTTCGGATACTTGTATAAAAATCAGCCGGGCAGATATGACTGTTACTACTTATCTTCTTGGAACAGCTTACATTTTTTTGTTTTTATTTATTTTTATGAACTTTTGTGAAAGCGAATTAAGGGCATAAACTTAATTCGCTTTCACAAAAGTTCATAAAAATAAATTTAACAAACAATTTAACTTCTCTATTTTTTAATGTATTTTGAAAATTATTTTTGACTTGGTAATAATTTTATGGTTCAGAATTACGATTTTAGTTTTATTAAAATCGGATAACGATATTATATAGATGGCATAGGAACGATCGAATAATTAAATCGTCATAGCTTTAATCTTTTTAGACGAATGCGCAAATAAATCAAAATTTAAATGTATTTTATTTTTGCAATAGCTGCAATGGTATGTAATCTTCGACTTGCCGAAGTCTGCTTCCTCTTTGTTTTAATATGAAACAAAAACGATTGTGAAAATCTTACGACTTAAACAGATATATTTCCTTAGTTTTGTGATATATTTTCATTAAATGAAAATCGAACGGGACTTGTACGAAAATAAATCCAATTCCTTTGTGTTGAATTTAGATCCAAGCGTCCGATCGAGTAGCTGTACTGCTTACTCTGCTCTTAACTTTTCAATTATATGGCAGCCCTGACTTAATAAATCAAGGGAAAGTTTAGAATGCACCATTTAATTCAATTTAATTTGTGAGCCCAGATGTAGATCAGATATTAGCGGCCGGAGACCACAAACGTTCCGTTGTGCTTAACATAACCCACGTCAACATCAACAATCATGGCCTAGACTGGCCTGTCAGCCAGTTCTCAACCAGTCAATCAAAGTGCCTCCCCGCGCACCCACCCACCCACTTTGGAGCCACCCACATCGCAGCCACCACCTCACGCGAATGTTCAGCGGAGCGTTGGAAAGGCGCGTTGACTTTAAAGGCGCGCCCGCAAGTATGCAACAGATTTGTGGTTTGCTTGTCGAGAGGGTAGGAAAATTTGAGGGCGGGGCTGGAAACTTAGCCGCCCCCCGCCGCTGCTTTCTGTTTGTGTTTGCTCTTGTTTGTCGCTGACATGCTCAGAAACCTCAACGAAGTTTGCGCTCCGCACACGCTCCGGAATAAAATAAAATAAAAACATACATATATGGAGGAGAAACAAGTAAAAGTCTGCCAGACGGAGGCTTTTTCTCATATGCGGGGCACGCATCGGTTAAGGCAAATCAACACATAACAATCTTGTACTTAAAATGCGTAAACAAGGCGATAAGCAAGGGTGATGGCCAAGAAAGTGGCGGGCGAATTTTTTGATGTTTATTGATGCGGCCGTAAATCTCAATTGCGGCGGGGAAAATGCGCAACGTCGGGCGAAGGGCCACTTTCTGCTTGTCGCTTTTGTGTGTCCCCATCCTGCCGTTTATTGTCGCCTAATCTCTTCCCAAACATCACGTTTCGAGTTGTCGACGATACCCTTACTTTTGTCGGGTAATGAACGGTTGGGAATCGTTGCAGTCGTGGTAAGCAATTTATGGGACATGACTCAGAAAATTATTTACAGCTCAGGTGACGCAGGGGATGAAATTTAACCCCAGAAGGTGTATACCATAAACTTAAAAAAAATAAAAAAAGGTCCTCGTTTTCAGAAAGCAGGTTTGTCTGCTTAGCCCCACCGGTCAGTTTTCCTTTGCTTAAACTTGTACTGTGTAGGCATCCATATAATTGAACAATAAAAAAGCCAGGAGCTTGAACCAGTTTTTTATTTGCTTTTCCCTAACAAATCGTTCCGGAACTGAGTTTAAAAGCCTTGTTAAGAGCTTACAATTATTTATATTGAGTTCTTGGTAAATATAAATATTTACTATTTTAAAAATTTGTAAAAAAAAGTTTAAAAACACTTGACTGGCGGTGGGATGGAACCTACGTCCCTCCACCACCCAAATGTATATATCAGTGCTGCGGTGTACCTAGACTTTTGTACCTAGATACGAATATAATTCCACTTTTTGGTACCTTTTTCCTTAGCTAACGATTTTCATGTATCTTTAAAACATGCTTAGTTAGGTATTTGGGTTCTGAAACATTAAAATATGTTTCTTTCTAGCTTTTTTGTACATTTTACCTTACCTAGATACTTAAAATTTGTGTACCTAACTACTTATTTTCGTAAGTACCTAAGTACCTAAGACAGATCCAAAAACTTGGTGCCTTTCTCAACACTGGTGCATTGCATGTAGTTTGAGCGACAGGTCAAGTGCAAATTTACTTGTTTCCAGGAAAGTTTTACACAGCTAAGCGATATTCAATATTTGTTTTGCCTTTACGACTATAAAATATCACTGCATATTAGAAAAAATATGTCAATTTAATAATAACAGTTATTTTCTGATTTTCTTCTTTATTTATTCTCTCGGCACGGCAAGCAAAAAAATATGTGGCGCCATCTGGCGTTAAGGTGATTTTATCTGCTAGCATTGACATCATGGAAAATGCTCAATTAATTTTATAATAACTTATTATTGCGTTTTAAAAAGTTTTGGTTGGTTAATATGAGGTCAATACCAGGTCTCTGCCGAATTTTAAAAACTTTCGCAGCACACTCGATTAAATGGTTGCATGACTATTTTCATTTAAAACAATTTTTATGCACGACGTTGTTTTTAGCAAAATCGAATATTTGTTGTTGGTATTTTAATCCATACCCAAAAAGATCACCGTGCAAGAGCATTTCTTAGCTGCACGTTTGTGCGGCTCACTTGATAATAATAATGCAGCCGCGTGCCAAGTAGCCTCCACCTCCATTTGGATGTTCGATTACACAGCCCTCGATTCGTCAAAGCCGAAAAGGAGCCGTCCTGTTCTGCCCCCCATCACAAGCTGTTTTGTCATCGTCTGCCGCCTTTTGCCAACTCATTTGATTTGCCTCCGCCTATTGATACATCCACACAATAAGGATATGAGCGCGTGTGGGGGCTTTTATGGCATACTTTCTTCGAGGCGGTCGTGTGCGAATATGTGGAAATTTGTTACATATTTTGCGCTTCGTCTTCGGGTTTGAAAGTGTGATTGTTTAGTGGATTTATGGGCATATGAAATTAGGATTTAATGGGCCTTTGCTTTGTATCTGAAGTGGATATATGCCGCAGAAACCTTCGGATCCCATGGCGCTGGGTGCTTAGCATAATGTTTATGATGTACGGAATGAAATTGCAAATCGCCGTTTAGCGTCTGTTCTTTGGAGGCTTAGGGGCTTGAAAAAGCCCAGCTATGTGGCTGCCCCTAACTCATTAAAAATGTTGTTTTCTTTTCGATATGTTCTGCTCACTGGGGACAACTTAAAGGGGTTTGAACAGATGCAATTCGATTACGTCCAACTCATGCCCTTAGCGAAGCTCTCATTTGATATTATAAACTACTTTGGCTTAGTTGTCAGTGCCTAATGGACCACTTTCTCAAGCTCTCTAGGCACAATTTCCCACTTTCCTTCCCATGCTTTAAGCCAACTTTATTAAGTCAAGTCGGCTTGACTGGCATTTCAACTTAATAAGCGCAACAGCAACATCCAGAAGCAGCAACAACCAGTAAATGGCGCTATTTAAATGCTAAACAACTCTATTAAGTTGCACGACACACTCGCACACTCATCCGAGATGTGTGCGAGATATACACACACACATCCGCACACACTCTCGTGCAGGCAAGACTTACTTTCTCGCATAGCCCATACCCTACATATCCTACAGCCCATATTCATGCCAAGGGCAAGCTTGACATTTGTCCGCCGTCTTTGCTGCAGAGAAAACTGAACTTCAGCACGTTTCAAATACAATTTACAATAAATAAAATTTAAAGCGGGTAAAAAGACTGCGACAACGCCAAAGGCAACTCGTATTCAGAGACAAGAAAAGCGGAAAAGCGCGGGGAAAGCAACTGACTTAATGGCGCCGGTTGAAGGACGTGGAAGGGGCGGAAAATGCTGTCTGACAAGAACTGAGCACGTGACGACACTGGGGATAAGCTCAAGAGATATAAAAACACTACGACTGCAGACGCAGGTGGATGTGACCGTCGGGCTGACTCTTAATACTCTTAATATTCATAATTAGGATATCAATTGCCCGTGTTTAAGAACGAGCTTTTACTAATAAATGCTCCCGAGATTATTGTTTTGATGGCTATAACAGTAGTGCAATAGATATCAAGCAAAAATAGTAAAGTTATAATCAAAGCGCTGCAGAAACATGAGCTCTTGCATGGAAAAATTCCCCTTTTGCCTCAAAAGCTTTGAAACCCTATGGAGGTTTCATTTTAAATGGATGGACAAATATTCGGTAAGTATTGGGAATACTTTTATTTAAAAAAATCGTTTTACCTGTGTTTTATTGCATTCAAAAACCTTGTATAACTGTTGACAAAAAAAACATTTATTTTTAATTAATATATGTATGTATGCACATTAATAAGCAATAAACAGCGGGATATTCAATTAAGTGACAAAAACAAGTATGGTATTCCTTTAAGTGGAACATTTTTTAGACACGGACTTTTTTTCACGAACTAAAATTGTGAAAAAATAGACCTACTTTTTACTTTTTACTTTTACGTATCGTATTTGGTTTACACTTATAGAGAGGAGGAGACTTTGACAAAAAAACTTGGTTATAATGGCTCAAGAATTAAAGTTGGTAAAAAAAAAGATAAAATGGCGAGCACTTACGTTTTTGCAAGACCCCTACAAAAAGTTTATTAAAAATTTAATTTTAGATATCAAAAGCAAGCAGCTGCTTTTATTTACTTAGAATAATTTATTTAGAAGTGGTATTTAAACTTAGGCTCGTTTTAAGTCATTTTGGTTTTTGGGTGTTTTCTGAGTAAAGTTCAGTTCAGTTATATGTTTTCTCTTTTATACAAGTGAGTCCATCAAACCAAATTTAAATTTATATATAATTTTGTAATATCCTTACACTTTAGTGTTGGATATACTCGTATGTTGATATATCTTACTAAAGCTGCATGTTGTTATAAATATCCTAAGGTGCAGTCAAGAAAAATATAAATACTAAAAACTGTTTTGCAAGGCCAAAGCAAGAAGTCTATATATTTACATGCTAACACAAATGTGTTCATATCGAAGGTCTATCGGGTAGATGTAAGTCCTTTACAATCTCTACGTCGTTTGTGAGTCTTTGGGCTGGTTTGTGAGTTTATGGTTAAGTCTTAAAATATGGCGAGAGCAATGTAGTCTCACTACCTTATCAACAAAAGGGAAACTCAAATCCCTTGCCAGTTCGGAAGTACGGATAAACCATTACTTCGGCGGCTTACTTAAAAATAAGGACTATATGTAAGGCCCTTGAGATTCCTCAACTTTTAGTATATAGCTAACATGGATAAAAGCGCTAGCTTAAAAGTATTCGTTGAGAACGATTAAGATTATATGGTTGCCAAAAATGACTGCATTTCTAATGCGATGTGGTCATTGTTTATGCCATTTATATGGTAAATAAATAAATACTATAATTAAGTTGGCACAAGCACAATGAACGAAACCAAATCACAAAATCATGCAATAAATTATTAATTTCTACCATAAAATCAGCCATCGGAAACAATCAGGGAAATTCTCAATATAAATGCATACATTAAATGATGCTTAAAGGGCACCATTGTGTCCTTAAAGCATGCGACCTAAGCTAATGTGCATGAGCCCTCTCGGAGCGATTTAAAAACCTAGTGCAGATCCCTTCGGGCCCCGAGTATATGGAAATTCAAGCTGTGTGAGAAGGGCCATCGGAGGATGGGTGGGTGACAGCGAGTGACTTACCTTTCTCGGGTATCGCATTGACGACCGTGTCCTCGCGAATGTCTTCAAGTAGCTCATCCTTATTTTGCATTTCCGCTGCGAGATTTCATTCCGAGTGCCACCGCCACCAAGGCATGAAAAGTGTTGGGAGTTCATCCAGGACCGGGGAGATGAAACGAGAGACGGATACATTTAGAGAGGTAGTTAATATTGGCTTGGTTATCCTTAGTGCAAATTCAATTTGAGGTGAGGAGTGTGTAAGGAATACAAACAGATACCTGGCCCGTCCGTTCTGCTCCGAAATTGGCAAGCTTAAAACCCCGAAAACCGCACCCAACGCGCCCAGAACGCCAAGGGAGCGAAACTTCTCGTTTCGTGAACTTTTCCAATATTTTAGGGTCGTTGGTTTTTTCAGCGCCTTTCTGTACAGGCGCTCAGCTAGTAATTTTCGCAGCCACAAAATGAAGTTGCAATTTGACTTTTGTGCAGTTGCATCGGTGGAGCGGCTGAAATCGATTTTGGGGAAAAGGGGCTCGGTGCCCTCAGGTAAAGGTAAAATGCATTTCAGGCACGCGTCGTAAAATATTTAGCGAATGCTAGCAAATGGGTAAATAGATTTACCTTTATGGGCTCACGTTTAGAGCGTGGAAATACAAACCGCAGGCCAGCCTTGGGAAACTCGGCTGCGTACAAATAAATCGGATAACTTAATTAACACACACATAGTATTTAGAAAGTAACCAAAATTAAAATGAATTTCAAATTGTATACTGGTCCTTTAAATTCGGCGAATAGCTGTTCTCACCTGGGGCTGCAATTTGTTAGAGAGCCATCTCTTCGATACAGAAATGAGCCATTGCTATTTTCCTGGGGGTCGCCGACTATTTAGATATTGATTTCCACTTCCACTTGGCGCGGCACCTTGTCACACATACTTTTGTATCGTATTTTCCGAGTTCTCCGACTGCGCCATAAAATAATGTTCAACCGGAAGACCTTGAACGCGCGTCTGCGTGCAGACAGTCGAGTCAATAGCGTAAATGGATTCCCATTCGCTTAGGACGTAGAAAGGGAACTACGGGAAATTGAAAGCCAAGGCACTGGCATTGAGGCCGTCGGAAAGGGCAGTGAATTTTCAATTAATTTTCGTATTGCCACTTCTCGAGTCGAAACCGTTTGCATTTAAATAAACGCATAGCACATGCTAACTGGGCAGGAGGTGAATGTTGCCGGCTTTTCCGGCTTTTCCGACTTTCCCACATCTGTCGCAGCTGGCTGGCAATGCAAATACATTTTGTGGCTCCCGCAAACGCACAAGAGTGAGCAATAAATTCGATTTCTTGAACGTGTATTGGAGAAATGGTTGGGAAATTCGGAGAGAGGGCGCAAGCAAAAATCAACTGCTGCCGAAACAACTTTTGTATGCGACTGGCTCCGGCTGCTGTTTGTAATATTTTGTGTTGCATACTTGCAGGCGCCCGCCACTTCCCATTTCTGTAGGACATGCCAGTGAATTCCTCGCTTTTTGTGGCTTTTGGACCGTTCGCAGACATGGAAAACGCATCGAGCGGGCCAACAAATGTTTCCAGGCACTGATACGTGCCTCCGCCCGAGACGGCGCACCAAAAAAACCGAATGAAAGTGTTCCGAAAGTTGCCCAAAAAGTTCCCTATTCTGGTCTTGTCTATGTTGCTCTTTTTGTGCCTAGTATGACGTGATTTGCAGGCAATACGACGTGACCGTGAAAGAGTGAAAGATTCACAGCGAGTCTGGGAGTTCGGGGACTGTGATGAACATTTCGAGATTGCCGGCAACTGTGTGGCAATTTGCAGGGCGAAGCGAATGGGCTTCAGAACAGCTGAATCTCTGATAAAGAATCGAAGTCGAAGTAGATAAGTTGTCTGCGATTTAAAGTTAAGCCTTAAAGCCAGTTGACAGAAAGTAGTAGAAGTGTTTAAGCCTCGTTCAAGAACTCTGCCTAATTTTACTTTGGCCGCATTATTATAAAATGTTTTGATGGTTAAAAAAATACCTAAAGTCAAAAATTTGCTGCAAAAGTGTTCACTGTCAATATATTGAGAATCAAACTCTTACATGAAAAAAAATCGACCTTGATCGCGAAATATCTAAGTAAAAGTCAACGGTTATACAAATTTTCCCCAAATTAAAAAGCAATAATTTTTGAAAGGCAAAGAAGGATTTTAGCTTTTTTAGTTAATACAAAACATTTTAAAATTGAAAATAAATTAAGAATACGGTCAACAATTTTTTAATAGTCGAACACTCTATAACAATTTTAAATGCAAATTTTCTGTTTCAGAGTGTCCTAAGGTATGCAGTGAAAAATTTAACATCATCATTTTTTTAAAGGTCAATGGGACTTTCGGCACTGTTGCATACTTTAAGACATCTTGATAAAAAAGTCACCCCTGCCATTTTTTCTAACAACCCCTTTTACAATTAAGATGTTCCATTCGACTTCAAAAGTGTTTAATTGAATTGGGTACCTTTAAGTATTCAAACATTTATTCTCAAATGACTTCAATGTTCAATAAGGTTTACTCATTTCCCCTGATTTAAGTCTCATATATTCTTAAAATGTTTAAATGTTAAAGCGAGCCATATTTTGTGTCCACTTAGCTGCACACCTCGCGGCAGCTCCCATTTTCCTGCTGTCTAACCTCAAAACTTCATTAGCCAAAAAGCACGCGCCGCCAAATTGAAACGACAGAAACAACAAACGCAGAAATATCTTCAAATAAAAAAATGCGCGAGGGAGGGAGGCAGGGAGGGCTGGGGAGAGTGCGTTGAGCGCTATAAATTGCACGGCGGCAGAGAATAAATGTAAAGTAAATGGCGCTAATTCAAAGTAGATTTATTTATTATGCCATTTTTCCCGCGGCCCAGCGCCAAGAAATATGCCTTAAATTTCCCATCCGAACATTGTCGCTGGCAGACAATGTGGCAGCTACAAGGGCGCGGAACGGAAGCGGAAGAGGAACACGCAGTTACAGGAAGCAGGAACCGCCCAAACACGGCGAAGGCGTAGCCAAAACAAAACTGAAAAAAAAACAAGGGCAAACAAATGAAAATATATTTTGCCAGAGCCCCGAAAATTATGCAACAAAAACGCGGGCGCAGCTCAAACATCCGCAGACAGCTCTAGCTTTAGGCCCTCTCAGAGCTCAATATGTATATGTTTTGCTTTTATTGCGGTGGAAGGGCCTTGTGAGAAGCCGAGCACCTGCTGCCAGAGACAGCCGCCGTTGATTTTGCTAACGCATTTAAGCCGTCTGCCGGCGGCCCAGATGATTTATTGGCCCTGCCCGACAGGCAGAAACCGGTGAGTCGTCGGATTATCATTTCTGGAGGTGTCAACAACTGCCCGAAATTTGCCCAAATTTGTCTATGATTCCTAAACGTTTGTAAGTGTTTGTCTTGGCACGGCTAATGATTCCAATTAGCCGACTTTGCACAGCGTACAGGCGAAAGCAGGGTTGCTCTGAATCAGATGTATCTTATCTCAGCGCACCACCTCCTTGGCCCGCTCGTCAATCTCTCGCTGGCCAAGTTTCTAAGCCAACTTTGGCAGCGCATCAGTTTGCGAACGTGATGTGGCGTTCCCGCGAGCGAGAAACCAGATCTTACTTTGTTGCAACTTTCGAGCACTTGCCCTGGCCAGCAGGGAGATGAAAGTCCGCGGACGGGAGATGCCTTTCAAATTAGCAGTCGCAAAATTGTTCATAATATACTCACTTGGGGCTTTAATTTGTGCATTCATTGCGGGCAAAGCACTGTAGCCGAGATGGGCATTCAAAGCAGAAACTGAAATTTAATAGTTGCCACTGCTGCAAAACTCTTTTTATTAATATTCCCTTGCAGCTATTCCAAAAATAAAACATCTTGAAAAAACATCTAAATTTCAAATTATATGAGTATCCATTAATACCCATTAAAGCTATGATGATTTTCGCGCCAATTGCTCGATCGTTCCTATGTCAGCTATATAATATCGATTTCGGATTTGAATAATATAAAAATAATATATAAATCTGAATTATTAAACTATTCCTATGTCCAAAAGAGTTACAGACAAAACATGGAAAATTAGAGAAGTTACAATTTTTTATTTATTTATTTTTTGTATTACTCCGATTGTTCACATGGGAGCTATATGATATAGTCGTCGGATTTGGATCAAACTAAAACCGTAATTCCAAAATAACAAACCATTACTGAATACCGAAGAATTACTAAATAACGAAACTTCTGATTTAAATTCAAAATTCAAGAGCTAACAAAGGTTTAACTAATAGTAAAGCAATCGGTATTTTACGTTACCATTAATACACGATCAGCTGTGAGCTTCCAAACACAGCTTATTGATTAGAGTAAGGTATGTCAATGAGGACGGCAGTCTTTTGTAAGTGTGTGAAAGGAATCCCATACATATTAGGATTTCTAAAGCAGTACATATGCTTTAAACATTAAACTTAATTACGCTGATCAAGATTATAATATATATTATTTCTAGGCTCGAAAATGTCTCCTTCACTGCGTTGCAATGCTTTGACTATAATTATAATACCATCTGCCTGGGTATATAAAGAATTGTAAGACAAAAATGAAATACACCAAAAATAAAAACTAAATAAGTATAACCCCTAAGCTTTTAAGTTTCATTTTTTATCCACATAAGTTTATTGTGATACTTTCGTGATATTAATTTAATACTCATCTTATTACGAAATTGTTCCCACCCAACAATTTAAAATTCATGTGACAATAGTTAAATTTTAATGACATTTTTTTTTAAAATTTACAAATGACATTTTCATTTCATAACAAAACAAATAATGACTATTTTGAACATAATACGGATAAATATTTTCCGAAAGACGAACTGTTGATTTTGTATTGAATTATAATAGAATCCTATTACTCTTCTTGCTTTATTGTTGTTAACGTCTGAAGAGATCTCTAAAATCAATCATTAAAAATGGGCCATCTTGAAAAATTCACGGTTAATGACCCTTGTTTTAAAGTGTCTTAATATGTGATGAATTAACGGTCCTATAAAGATACCAAAAACGCTAGATCGTCACAGGATCGAAACTAGAACGAGGTAACAGTTGACTAAAAGTTTTTTCTGTATGTTAAATGAATTATAAAATATAAATATTTAATAAAATAAAACTTATAAGTAAATAAAATATAAAATTAAATTTACGAGAAGTATATTATTTTTTTTAAAAGTGCCCTTCTTATATTTAAGAAAATCATTTTCTTAAAACTCGTGCGTGTCATCATTGGCTCCACATTGATGGTGATTTTCCTAAATTTTTTTTTCATGGTGAATAAACGGCACAATAATAACAATAAATTATCTGTTATCTGTGTGCTATAAAAACGATTAACGATCTATTCTTGAAGAGAGGATTACAAAACTCAAATATTTTAAATATATTAATAATTTGTTGCTATGATTAGCAAACAAATAAAATTGTTTGCTCATTTGCGAACATCAGTGCTGACACCGGTACCAAAAATTGTTTTCGTATATATAATAAAACACATAAAATGAGTGAAATAAAAATAAATGTCTTACTCAGACCGACAGGTAAAAGGAATATGATTGAGCATATTTTGGAAGCTCTGCTTAGAACACGTTGTTTTTCTTTCGCTGAATAAGCCATTTCGGTCACTTTGCGATGGAAACATTTGGCTAATTGGGCTGAGCGGTCTTTTGATGTCTGTCAAGATACCTGGTGAGACGCAGAACCGTCCCCTGACCAAAGAAATTAAATTTGACTGTGCACTTGAAGGAGATCAGGTGGGGAGCTGGGCCAACCAACATAGTCATTTTCAAACGAGCAGCGACACGAAAAATGGAGCTTTAACAGCGATTCGTCAGGAGGCAACAGCGAACAGGCGCAACAGCAAACAGAAAGAAAAACACGAGTGGACCGACATAAAACATAAAACACAAATTACAAGAACTAAGGCAAATAAACGACAACACAGCTTTAAGGGCCAACAGCCTCCGTGATTGTTTAGCCCTGCCACCAGCTCCCTTTTGATTACCGCTTCACTCGGTTGACTGCCAGGACCTGTTAGGACCTGCCAGGACCTGCAGCCAGCCCAGCGTGAAAAAGTCGTGCATACTTTTAGTTGCAGCGCGAAGCGAAAGCGTGTGAAAAAAGCCAGCACGCACAACACCGAGCACAAACACACGGACATAGACAACCGGCAAATGGCTGCGAATAACAGGGAATTGACATAGAAGGCAGAGCCCTCGAAGGGCGAAACATTTTTGCAGTCCATGGAGAAATGGCTGAAAATTGTCAAACAATTGCCTGCACATCAGCGGCAAATTCAGTTGAAACAAGAAAGAAAGAAAGCAAATTTCGCCCAGCCGAAGTGCATATACCCTTGCAGATATTGCAAAAATTAAATATTCTTGAAAACATTAAAATTATAATTTACTTGCGTGTATGTTTAAAAACATTGAAGCTATGAATTATCATAGCAAATTATTGCAGCTCAATTATTCAATCGTTTCTATGACAGCAATATGATATCGTTTTCCGATTTGAATAAAATTAAAAGCGTAATTCTGATATGTCAATCTATTAAAAAGTCAAAAATAATTTTCGAAATAAAATTACAAAATAGAAGAGTTACATTTTGTAATTTTTTTAAAATTTGCAACGTAAGTCTTAAATAATGGTAAACATTACTATATGTCAAATAAATAAAAAAATAAATAAAAATATAAAAAATATATTCATTTCTTTTTCCGGCTATATGCTATTGTAGTTCGATCCGTCTAGTTCCGACTTATGGGAAAATTCTAAACTCTAGACTAGTTTGCCTAAAAACAGACGGACAGACAGACGGACATGGCTAGATCCACTGTCCTAGTGATTCTGATCAAGAATATATAAACTTTTTATAGTCGAAAATGACTCTTTCACTGCGTTGCAAACTTCTGACTGAAATTATAGTACCCTCTAAAAGGGTGGAAGAGCAGGGAGCTTTGAAATCCAACGGAAATTAAATTTGACTTTGGCGAAACTTCATTGACACTAAGCCAAAAGACACAGAATTTCAGTCTTACTTCTTACAACAGACAATATGGTTCATAGAATTTTCAAAACTTGGTCAGATTTGCCAATATTTAATTATATAAATGTATGTGCGAAAAAGCTCCTAAAAAATCCTTTCTCCTTATTTATTTTTCTGTTTGGATTGAGGATTAAATAAAGGATCTCATTAACGATTATGAGACAAGCTTGTATAGGCTAATTGAACTAGATGGGCTTTGTTAGCTTAGGGGTGTTATGATTTTCGTCAGTCGGAAGAAAAGTAAATTCTATTTCTAATCACAAATAACCATTTGGTTTTACGAACATTAACTATTTTAATGTAAAAATAATATTTTCTTTATATTTAATAATCGTATACCTTAAACAATAATAAAAAAATAAAGCGTAAATGTTCTCAAAACAAGTACAGAAATAAAGACACTTTGCAAAACCATATGCAAGTGTCCGACATCTCAGGAAGAAACATTTCACTTAAAAACCCTTTTCAAAAAAACTCATGCAATAGTTGGTCATCAAGTCAAGTCATAAACCCAGAAACTGACGACCCGAAGTGCCATCAATCACAATGTCAATCACTTTTTGTCATAAGTAGATACTAGCACCAGCACAAACTTACCCACGTTCGCCGAGGGAGAGAATATATTTTCAGAGGTTCAACATTGTGTGCAATGTCAACGTTTGTCCACTTGTTGAGCCGTCCTGGCAAAAGGAAGCGGGGATCGGGGCTGCGGAGGCGCAGGATTCGGCTTGTTGCCCACAAGCCATAGACAAAGAAAACTTAAGTGGTCACTTGTGTGTGTGCGACTGGGAGACAGGGGGCCAGGGGCCCGGAGACAGGGAGAAGGCGTGTGTCAGGTCAGGAGCAAGCCAGAATACGCATACGCCATGTGAGCCCCTTAATTATGCTGTGGACTCTGGGCGGACAATGACAACTTAAACAGGCACTAAAGCCAACCAAGCACGTGCTTCTGGCCCCTTCTACGCCCTCCAGCGTTTATCCGCTCGTCCTGCCACTGCCCCAAATATGTGTCCAATGAGCCAAGCTGTTTTTTAGGCCGGCCAACCCGCCAGTCACATAATTCACTTGAAACGACATCCTGCTAGCTTTAGCGAGGGCGCAGAGTTTAAGCCACTCAAAACTTTTTGTTAGCACTTGGCAAAGGCGTCAACATTGACCTTGTGACCCGCACATAGCTGCCAAAGCAAATGGATGTAATCCCGGATCCCTGTTCGATTTCACCGATCAGAAAAACTAAGGAAGGACAATGACAAATCTATTCGCAGAAGCTACAGCGATTATGGAAAAATTAATGTCGCTTTGTATGCTATTCTCCAAGCAGGAAGTGCTGCCCTCTCCAGGAAATTCATAAGAGTAGATGTTGACGCCACAAATATAACCTTATTGTCGTCACGACTTTTTTACCTCTTAATAGAAGTAGAACAACAATTTTTTGATTTTAATATAAATTCCTTAAATCGAGGAACGATGAACGCAAATATGACCATCCCATATTAACTTGGGGAAAAAAACCTACCTAATTTTCTATAGAATGTGTTCCTAAATTACATGGTGGGCTAATTTTTACATCATTTCTTAAGTTAGGTAGTTGTTGTTCTTAGTGTACCTGCACTTTGACCAAATTAGTGATGCATATTTACATACATAAATACTAGTAATTACATTCAAAGTCAATAATTTAATAGTTGAAATTACATGTCACACTAATTGCTCATCTAATTAACCGCAAATTTGCAGGCAGAATTTCTTTTCGAGCTTTTCCACACAAAAACAAAATTTCAGTACAATGAAGCAGCGTTTTTGATTCCTACACCAACACTGGGAGAGGGCAAACGGTTTTTTTTTGGAATTGGAACACAAATTTGAATAACCTTTTAACGGTATATTGAAATATAATAATAGAGGTTGCACTCGAAGCGAATTTAAAGTCAGGTAAATTTTGATCTATGATCAAGCACCGCCTCATGTAAAGCCTATAATTGGAGAACAAGTGCTCTGAAATTGGTAGTTAATTGATCCGATTTGATCGTAATTGAAAGTATCTAATTGCAAATTGTTCCTTAAAATACTTGTCGATTTTTTTAAAAATTAAGTATGAATCAAACTAAACTATTTGTGTTACGTCGAACATCAAGGATTCATGCTTTTACCAGATATTTCTTTACTTTTTATTCACTATTGCATGAAAAGACAGTCATAAATATTTTATTTTATTTTAGCCGAAAATCGGGATCGCTGGCCCAGTGTGCAGAGAAAAAATCCCTGTTTTTCCCAACCCAAGAAAACGGATCTCTACTCACCCAAGTGGTGGGCGATGTGATCGTGCTCCTCGGACTCGCCGATGATGAAGTCCTGGTGCTGGTGGTGCAGCTGGTCCAGGTGGTGCAGCTCGCCCTCGTCGTCGCTTTCCTGGGCGTGGGTGTGGGAGTGGGCGTGGGCGTGGCAGACGGAGAGCGAGAGGGACAGGCAGAGGAGCGAGGCTGCGGCGGCGGTGGCAGCGGCAACAATTAGCTGCGAGGATATTTCCGGCATTTCTCGCTTCCGCAGCAGCTTCCCCTTACCCTTTCCCCTTCCCCTTCCCGCCCCCGCACTACGTCTGTCCTGGCGGCGCGTGGCAATCGTCGCTGCATCCGCTGTCAGCGGAAATATTTTAATTTTCATTTTTTATTTGCTAACGCCGGTCCGGACTTTGCTTAACGCCCGCACTCTTTCCTAATTGTCTGCCTCTGATTGCGCCGGCACTTGGCTGCTTCGGCTGCTTTGGCTGAGATCCTGGTTCTAGCCCGTTGCTTCACTTTCGATATTCTGTAACTCTCAAGTACTTATGCACATTGTTTTGCCCAGCTCTCGGGCGTGGAGATGGAGAACATTTCCAATGCATTACTGCAGACGTTAAGCCAGAGTTCGACTACCCTGCGGATGAATGTCACTGCAAATAGGAAAGATGAAAAAACCACATTCAGTGTATGCAAACAATATATCAGGAATGAGTGGCGTGCTTTTAATTTTTGAAAGCATTTATTATGGCCAGTTTTTGCCTTGCTTCCCACTCTTCTGTGCTGCAGTAATTGTTTATCATTTTATTATTAAACAGAATTCATTATTAATGCACACACACACAGTCTCTGCTGCTTTCATACATTATGCAGAATTGTGTGTTAGGCCGAATGCAAACGGAAGAAATTTTAACAGTGAGTAAACGGTGGTGAAAGGTCCGATATCTCGTTCATTGTCGATTTAAACGGAATATATTATAACATATAAGGTTATCGGGTTTTATTCTTTGTAGTGTTCAAGCATAAGAAAAAGTTTATATACCCTTACAGTTATAAAAAAAATTTAATATTCCATAAAAAAACTTTACTTCTATTTCAAATGCGTTATTGTATAAAAACAATGAATCTTTGTCGATTTTCCGCTAATTTCTTCGATCGTTGCCATGGCAGCTATTATATAATTTGTCCGATTTTGAAAGTTAAAATTAAAATCTATTTCTGAAATTTTGAACTTATTTTAGACTTCAGTCATTAGGAATTCTGTGTATGTTTCGGTCATATCTTTTGATAGACACAAACATTTTTTAAAACGAGCTAACATTTTATAAGTTATTGGCAGTTATGTTTTGCTTTGACGTCACTGTTTAATTGAAAACCGGAATTCGTGCATGGAAGAGCAGCGAAGAACTAGCACTTAACTTGTGTGAGTAATTTGCACGGGGAAACTTGTGAATGTGTATGTGACCACAGCGCTTCTATACCTTTCGTGTGTGCTCTGCCGCTGCTCTGCATAAGATACAGTGGCTCACACAGCCCATTAAAAAATTTGTCTGTAACTTTTAAACCCAATGAGCTTTCATACAAATTTTAATGGCTAATAATATAATAAATATCTAGTAAATTAAAGGCACATCGTTTTGGTTAATACAACAAAAAACAAAAATTGTTCAATTTCATTATGTCGCAGCTTAAATGATGCACTTCATATTTAGTCTTCAATAATTAGATGTTCCTTGCTGGCAATATTGTTTTTCCTTATGTTGTTATCCAGTAAAGCCCCCAAGTTCTCTATAACATTCATATCTGGTGACTGTGCAGGCGGGGTCTCCACGTGAAGTCAGTTATATACCAACCAAAACTGCACAAATGTGACTTTTGCTTGGGGTCATTATCCTGGTAGGCTACTCAACATTTTTCTTCAGTATATCAAGGTACATGTTTTTGTCCATTATGCCCTCGATAAACACCAATTTCCCCACGCCGACTACCGACATACAGGCCCAATCCATTCCTCCACCATGTTTAACGGTGGGCTTAAGTTTCTCCTTTTAAAGCTCGGTATTTGGCTACCGTCTGATCCAAATATGTTAAATTCCGACTCATCTGCGAAAATAACATTATCCATCCAGTAGTCAGATGAATTAGAGATGTGTTCCTTGACTAAATTCAGTCAAGCAATTTGATACATTTTGCTAATGGAGTTTTTGTTCCTGGCTACTCGATCATTAAAATCGTGATCACGCAGCACGCGGCGGATAGTTTCTGGGCAACATGACTTGCCTATCTCCTATTGAATCTGCTATATAAGTTTTAGTGCGGTGAGCCTGGGGTTTTCTCAAATTTTCCTCACTATTGAGCGCTTGTCATGTGCGTTGAATATCTTATTCGGTGCCCTTATTTTCTACAAATCGACAAAATGGGATAGTTATATATTAAATTATCGTTTTGTGTTTGCTTAAGCGTTTTAAATAGCTTTTAAAATTAACTTAAAAAGCACAAACATGTTGACATTTACTGGCAGCAATCTCAAATCAGGGTCACAGGAGTTAAAGAGGTTCTTGTCAGACGTAAATGCTCCATCTAATTGAGGCAATCCAACGAGGCGTATGGGTAACTTGACATGCTTCAGTAGCCACCACAGAGGCAGAATGCAACATTTTAGTAACCTCAAGTAGTTTTCGGTTACATATTTTCCGCCCCCTCTGTTAGAAATCCTCCCCTTCATTGCTGTTTCGATGTCTCTACTCTACTATATATATATTATTTTATACATTTTGTATGCGGAGGCCGAAGCTTTCTTTAATTGCAAGGAGCGGCCCCATTAGAAAACTCAACCCGAGCGCACCCACACATAGAGAAGGGGCAAACCAGTTGGAAGAAGACGCACAAGATATGGCCAGGAAAATGCGGAATCTGAAGAAACTTGAAAACAAAAGTCAAGCGCAACGCAACGGAAAGCGGCAGAAAGGCATTTAAACTTTTGGACAAGTTTAATTTCCCGTCGAGTGTGGGCCATAGTAAGTGCCAGAGATGGCTGAAGACAGATACCAAGGAGAAGGGGCTTTCTCGCTTATGAAATTGAAAGCACTTTCCATCTTTGAAGGAATTGAGTGCTGGCAATCAACTAATTGCGGTCAGATCCCTGGTCATGATTTCCACGTCACCCGACCTCTCGTTTTATCGATGGGTTGCTCGAAAAAAGGTCTCCCATTTCCGTTATTAATATTAGTATTATCAGCTTAATGTTGCCACCGTTGATCATCCTTGTCTGCTGCCCATTTTTCTGTTTTATAATCAGCTGACCAGGTGGAAATTAATGAAAAATAATGCCGTGTTGAATTCTGTTATTATTATTCTTTTCCCTGGGTATTGTCACCTTTGTGTGGCCTTTGGCCATTTATGACATTGTTTGGCGGCATTTTCCTTTCCTGTGTTAGCTGGAAAAATCATAAAGATAGCGGTCACAAAAGCGCTGCCAAATGGTGAAAGGGTAAAAGGAATGGACTGCATTAAAGAGATAACAAGAGTGTGCTGAAAACTGGACGAAATGTGAAAAATGGCTTTTCATTTAATAAATTGGCTTAAAAGGGTGACGTGCTGTGTAACTCGTAACCAAGCAACGAACCACATAAAAATAAGACTTTTTCCTAGGTATTAAGTCGAAGTTTCTGGTAAAGGCTATGGGTTATATTAAATAACCATTGCTTTCTTTTCATCTGAGGGCAAATAAAAGTAAATGTTTTTTAAAAAGAATAAAAATAGACTAGTTTTTCAAAATTTTTACATTCCCAGTTCGAAATTGAAATATGCTATATCAAATTTTAAGGTACGCAGTATACTACAATGCAATTGAAATATTTTTTTAAGCATTTCTTAACTTAACATGATAGAGCAGGATGGTTTTAACTTAAAAAAATTTTTTTTTGATAATTTTGTAAGTAAGTAAGTAAATACTTGCGGATGAACTAAAGCTTTTATTAACAAAATTTTGTTTACGTAAATTTCAAATTGGATTAGCCATCTGATGGTATGTGACATTTAAAAACTGTTTCCTATTACCTATATTGTCATCTAAGTGTAAAAATAGCTGTCTTAAGATATTTGAATACGTAAGAAATTTTAAAGTAGCTAGCTAATTGACGCATTGCATTGGCTGCTAGCACAAAGTATGAGTGAAGGAGGATCCCAAGTGAATGCACTTAAAGCGAGATTTAGCATCGCATTACGTCCGGCCATGGGCCCGTTCATCGTCCTTTATCGTTGATAAACAGCTTAGAGACCCGGAGACCCATCTGCTTCTCCCAAGGCAAATCAGCCCGGCCAAGTCCACCAACGTCATAATGATAAATAGCTACAGTCGAGCAAGCAAAGAACACGGGTGCCCAAGTCGATGGGCGGCAATCTTGGCCCGGCAAAAGTCAAGACAATTGACACCTTCTCGATGTCATTAACATTTCTGTTTGATGGCTGGAGGTGTCCTACCTTCGACTGTTCTCATTTCGACTGTTGTGTAGCAGCTTTTGTTTTGGCCAGGTCGCCGAACCGTTTCATTTTGTTTCGTTCTGTTTATCGCCAGCTGTCAATCGTTAAATGACAAACAAAGAAATGCGGCCAGCAATTTGCAGCCAGCCAAATGGCGTCTATGATTTTCAGCTGTCAATGACAGTTGCTAATCCACGGCATTCCCGTTTTCTCGAGCTTTTCCGCTGCCTGGCCTCGGAAATGAAATAGCAAATGATGACTCCCTCTGGACTCTGAATTTTTGTACCCATGTCTAGCGGAGCGGGTATTTTGAGTTTGTGAAAGTGTACAAAACTATAGCAAGCGAATTGAAGTTTATTTATTACCTATATAGGCAAATTGCCAAAGGGTTATTTGATAACTTTGTAAAACGATTATTTTTAGAATACAAAATCTCAAACATAAAATATTGAGGAGTTTTTTAATTTAAATAAAAAAAAAACTACAATATCGGTTAATTGAGACTTTATGTACCTAAAGGTGTGCCAAAAAATCGTGAAAGTAAAAGTCGGGGAAACTCACGAATACCGGTCCGTCGTCTTTAACAAACACATCTACCTCGTGATTTCCTCTGTTCTGTCTGCTTAAATATTTTCCTTTATTTTGCTTTTGAATTTTTCTCTTATCCACATTCTTTTTCATTTTATTTGGCATTCTTTTTTGGAAGCGTTTTGCTACTTTCGCGTGTCAAAACTGCAGCAGAATGCCAAATAAAGGGCTTGTTTATGTCACCTGGACTGGTGGGTCTGGTGTAGGTGTTGGTATCTTTTTGGCGCACTGCAATTGTCGCTGGTAAAATGCAGAAAATGGCATTAAATTAAACTTTAGCCCCAATTGCACTTATTGGCATAACAAAAGTTAACTGGAAGTGAAGCGAAATGAGAATATATATATAACTATTAAATGCTTCTTTTGTATTTTAATACGAATATGAAAAATTAAATCATTAGTTTTAAGTTTCTGGTTAGTAATTTTGTTGAAACAATTCATTATTTATTGGTAATAATGATGACCCTTGAGTAAAATAGATGAGTAGTTGTGTTATAGCACGAAATCATGTTCCGTTTGCAGTGAGTAACGTAATTGTTGGCTCAGCAAGCCAAATTGAAGACTATTTTTCTCCATCTAATAT